TGTGTCTGTGTCTGTGTCTGTGTCTGTGTATGTGTCTGTGTCTGTGTCTGTGTCTGTGTCTGTGTCTGTGTCTGTGTCTGTGTCTGTGTCTGTGTCTGTGTCTGTGTCTGTGTCTGTGTCTGTGTCTGTGGCTGTGTCTGTGTCTGTGTCTGTGTCTGTGTCTGTGTCTGTGTCTGTGTCTGTGTCTGTGTCTGTGTCGGTGTCTGTGTCTGTGTCTGTGTCTGTGTCTGTGTCTGTGTCTGTGTCTGTGTCTGTGTCTGTGTCTGTGTCTGTGTCTGTGTCTGTGTCTGTCTGTGTCTGTGTCTGTGTCTGTGTCTGTGTCTGTGTCTGTGTCTGTGTCTGTGTCTGTGTCTGTGTCTGTGTCTGTGTCTGTGTCTGTGCGTGCGTGTGTGTGTGTGTGTGTGTGTGTGTGTGTGTGTGTGTGTGCGCGTCTGTGTCTCTGTGTCTGTGTGTCTGAGCGTCTGCGTGGTTCGAATCATGCCTTCGTGCTTCAGCTTAAATGGCCTGGATTCCACAATCAGATGAAGCCAGCTAGAGGCATCCAGAACTAAGCCAGCTTATGCTGCTTCTGCTTTCTGACACAACAACTCGCCCAAGAAAACGTGCCTACCACATCCACGCACGTTTGGCTTTGCTGGGTTCCGGGGTCTGCTTTCATGTTTATAATCTCAGCAGTTGCCAGAAGGTGCTGAAGTCAAGCTACTCGAGGCCAGAAGCTTCGCCAAGGCACCCCAACCCCAAATTCAAAAGCAAGGCCGACAGATCCCGCACCTCCAAGACCCTAAACCCATATGCTCCCTGTGTGCAGTGGCAACAGGCCCCGGAATCAGAAGTGCTCAGCCGCGCCTCCCATGAGGGCCTCACAGTGCAAGGAGCTCTCGAAGGTGATCACGCCACCAACCTCTTGAGTTGTTCAGGGAAGTGACCCCAAGTCACGCCGCACAGCGCACCGCGCGCAATATTCACAGGTTAAGCTTCAAGTTCAAGTACAAGTTCATTTCAGGTCTTACTTGCACCTGGTGCTTCTTTCTGCGACTGCCCTTTCTCGCAACAAAAGCCTTTCAAATAACTTATCTTCGGTTATGTTGCACTCTCTTTAGTGCCACCCCCCCCCCCCCCCCCGCCCTTTAAAGTCAAGTTCGCGGGGCTGTTCAGGACAACCTTACTGTTTGGGGGTCCGGACTGCAGTCCTCTTATAAAGCTCCTCAAATCAAGATATTCTTCCAGGATGTATTTTAGGGTCTTTTAAGCAAAGCTCAAGCCCAAAGGCCGGGCCTTTGAATCTTGAAGGCAGGCCTCCTTTCCAAGACCTCGAACACCCGGAATCCCAACTGAGCCCATAGCTCCCCTAAACAAAACACATAATGAAAAGTTGGTCTGGCTCAGTCCGGCAAAAGGCAGGGCAAAGGGGTGGTCCAGGAGCCACCCCAGTCTCCTATAATGGGCGCTTTTTTGGGATCATCTTCAATGTCGTGGCCTCTTGGGCTCTCTGGATTTCAAAAAGTCATTACTATATGGACCCCTTTAAATTCACATAACCTCATCCCTTTTCAAATCATATGGATCCTTTTGAAGCTCATATAAACTCATCCGTTTAAGATCATGTGAAACATTTAATATAAAACTCATCCCTCTTGAAGCCATACATGAATCCCATGTAAGCTCATGTAAACTCACCCCTTTTCGAACACATGAGTCATACGGATCCCTTTTAAATTCGTATAAGCTCCTCCCTGCCAAAATAAACCCGCGGACCGTTTAACAGAGGGACAAAAACAGCTTCGACTGTTCAGGTGGGGAGGAGGGTGGGGGCCGCCACTTGAGAGGGTGCAACATTAGTTGTTCCCTGTTTGGTCTATGTTCACTACTACTCAGGAGGAAAGTGAACGCAGGTATTGATGTAGATTCCCGGCCAACCTCGTGGCTGAAGACATCCTCGTAATGCACGTGGAGTCTCAGCTCGATGTGGCCCCGGGAGGTTTGGATGACGAGGCGACTTACAAAGGTCTCCTCGCAACGCACACAATCTTGTGGGGTTTCTACCCCCAACCGGAATGTGCGACGAGACTCTCAGGGACTCAAGCGGGCTGTGGATGATTCCGGCTTCCCTTAGCCAAGCTCGGGTTTCAAGTCTGGGGAGAGGGCTTCTGCTTCAGGTCTGCATCCGAACCGCTTGCCGATCCCGGCGATCCCACGTCTCCTTGTCCTCGATGTCAAGACCACAGTTGCTGCAAACGGTTTCGCGCCGGAAGCCTCGGTGCTCGGCTTCTTACTGGGTTTAGGAGCTGCTCAAAGGTTTACAGTAGGGTTGACATTTTTTGCGATGCGCAAGGGCTTCGCACTGAAAACCTCATAGTTCTCTGAATGAGATGCTGCACTGCTTCCACAATGCCGCCGTCATCAGCCAACTAGCCAGGTCTGCAGAGTTCACGTTCGCAAAACCTGAGCATGCGATTCAAACTTCTTCTCGCATGACATACATGAAAAGCACGCCTCACCGAACCCTGCGAACCCTCTCACCGCTAACCTTAAGCCGCCTCCCAGGGTTTCGACTTGTGTCGACATCTTGAAATAGCAACTGATCATGGATTTTGCCACCCGCCAGATTAGCCACATGCATGGTTTAGGGTGCTTGTTCGGGTCCTTTTTAGTCTTGAATGTCCGAGTCCGAGAAGCTTGCTTGCAGAAGGCTCGCCACCGACACGCTCCGCGCAAGCTCACCATCCAATTGGCCGCTGCGGTAGCTGTGGTAATCCCCGAGAGAAGGTTCACGTTCAAGCCAGTCCTGGCAGGTCTTCGAGAATGCGATCCCAATGAGCCGCGTTCTTTCTTTAAATGCTAGCTACTTTCCCTGCAAAACTCTTTCCGTCGCGCTATTCCCCAAGCCTTAAAACAGAAGCTTGATCCACAGTTCACAGCACCACAATTACCAACATATGCAACAGCGAGGTGCACACCTTGTCCACCTCATTTATCATCTCAGCATCCACCTCCCTGGAGGTGGGTGTAGGGAGCTTCTGCTGGTTCAGCTGTCTGAATGGCTTCATGCAAGCCCAGGCATGCAGGTGTCGAAAGCTCCAAGACGAACGCGTTGTACGAAATAGGTACCGAGCCACCTGCCCTTGGAGAAATAAGTCATAAAGTGCTGAAGCGACATCGTGGCACGTTGCCTGCAGCTCAAACACTGCGGGCAAAGGCAGAAGAGATGTTGCCAGCAAAGTTGGCGGAGAGCCAAACCGCAGGCTGCTGCAAAGCAACAGCACGCCAGTGTGTCTCCGGCAGGCGTCGTCCATGGCTAGGCCTATGCCTCCCTCTGCATGATCTGTCGGGCTCTGGATTCGCAGAACCCCTAGCCTTACAGGAGCGCAACAGAGTTCTTCGCCTGAGAACCCTTGAGCCGATGTGCATCAGCAAGTGGTGCTGTACAAGACAAAGTCCCAGGTCGGCTTGTGAGCACGCGGGCAGCAAACACACACACACACACACACACACACACCCAATCTCAATCTCAGAGTGAATTGGCGTAATTGACGTTTGTTTTTAAGACACTTGCGGTTTAAGGCCTCCAGTTCAGCGCGCTGCCCACATGTTTGAGGGGATATTCGCGTGCCTCCTCATCGGTGATTGCGCCATCTCGAAACCTGAAAAGATTGGAAACCCATGGCGTCTTGGAAGCGGAGTTTGGGGTAGCGCGTTTGTCTTGTTAGGAGTCAAAAAGATGCTCGACGTGCTTTCTTCTAATCGTCATAAATGGTTGTTGGGCCTTGCCAAGCTCCAGGTCTCTCTGACTTCTTTTCTGTAGCCCAGGTCCATGCTTCTCAGCGCGCATCGATCGCTGAATACCCATCCAACTCGAATCTCCCGTAGCCTAGAACACGACTGCATCCCAAATTCTAGGCCCTCCAATGCCAAGCAGCAGATACGAAGAATGCAGGAAGGGCTCCAAACGCACTTTCAGCAAAGCATACCCCTTTTCACACCAGCAACGGGGGTACTGCTGAGGGTCAGGGGAGACATCTTTGGACAAGCTGCGAGGTGTTCTGGTCTGCCCTCCTTGTCCCCCGTCTACGGGGGCCCACTGTGGTCCACTTCCGATGCCTCTGTGGAGTGGGCTCGGGGAATATGTAACCCCCAGCCTGGCTTGACTTGGGCCTTATAAAGCCAAGAACGCACAGGCGCTTTGGATTCTTAAGGTATGCGTGGAGTTTGCACGGTTTTGTGTTTTGGGATTCTTTGCTTGCTTGAGTTAGGTTGACTTCGGCCTGAGGATCTGTCAACATTATCGGTTTAACATTTTGCAGACTAACCAGGTCTGGCCTGCGGGCCTTGCGGGCCTTGCTGCGTGATATACACAATGTATCTATCTTCACTCACAGCAACAGAACAAAATCTTCAACGGCTGATAAGCCCAGCTAATCCCCTAAATGGATCGGGATGAATACGAACCCTAAAAAGATCCAACCGCAGCAACCACATGAGTCGTGGTGTTTGCATGCGTTTGCTGCATGTCAGGCAACACCCAGAGCATGCCTCACGACACCCTGCACAAACGTGCCCCACACGCCTATAAAGGTAACACAGTTTTAAAATGCCCAACCTCAAGTCCGGAATCCTCAAACACCGTGAGCCCTAAGCCCTACAGAAACCCAAAAAAACTCTAAGTCTAGGCCCTAGACTGCGAGCAGACAGGCTGTGAGGCTCGAGCGCCCCTCTGATGGAGAGCGCCAGGAAGCTTTCGCGTGCCCCTGCGTTGAGGCCTTTGAGGACATCTTGTGGGGGGGCATTCAGGGCTTGGATAAGCTTTCAACACCAGCAGAACAATCTCAAGCGCAGGTACGTATCAGCTGCCTCACCACCTCCACAGCCTAGGGTTTAGGCTCAGGATTCTGTTTGTGCGCTCGAGGCAGCATGGGTAGCAATTGTCAGTTGTTTTTTTTTTGCAGGCTTCACCTGCTGAAGTCAAGGGCGAACAAGTCCCTTCAAAGAAAGCTAGCCTCCTGGCTTTCACTCATTGACTCATAGTTGGCATCAAAGGGTATTTGAGTTCACATTACAGAGGCAGGAGCTGCTATCTCGGGGACGAACTGCAGGCCATTGGCACTGTATGTGTGGAGAGCTCCACTCCCACATCCAAAACACGAAGCAGAAGTGCTTCGCACAGCCAGACACCCACCGCGGTCAACTACAAGAAACTTATGTTCTATCCAACGGTCTTGGCAGTGTTATCGCCTAGACCGTCTTCTCAACTTCACTCGACATTGGTTGTGCTGCGCCAATGGCATAAGCCTTCGGGGGAGAGTGCTGCTTGACATCCATACCGACCTCCTCCGTGTACTCGTCGATGCGCAAGAATCCTGTCATCTTCAGAGCAAAGAAGGCAACCCCCGAGAGCGTTCCGGCCCAAAGGATGACCATGATGATCAGGATGCACTGCGCACCGATCGCGGTGCCGCCAATGCCGGTCTGGCAAGTAGAGTCCGAATCGCTCACTGGCATGCAGCCAAAGCCGGACCAGCCGTGGTAGTGGTCAACGCCCTTGCCCCAATCGAAGAGACCGGCTGCCAGCACGCCCCAGATGCCACAGAAGCCGTGCACCGGACTGGCGTCCACAGGATCGTCAATCTTCAGCTTCTGCAGCAGCATGGACGAGGCTTGGTACACCAAGGCACCAATCAGGCCGATGGCAAAGGCACTGCCGCACTCCACATTGCCTTACTTCAGGAGTCTTGGAGTCTCTGGGGCAGTTAGGGGGCAGATGTTCCACTCGCTGGGATCAGGAAAGCATGTTTAGGAGTTTTGCTTCAACACCCTTGAGCTGAGCCGATGGCTGCAGTCTTCTGCGAGGCTGCACAGCTCAAAAAAAGATTTCCAAAACTGAGCCTTGCCAAAGGTGCATTGCAAAGTGCATGGCTGCTACTCAAAACAAGCTCTTGAGACGCAGCAACGGCTTCCCTAAACCCTAAACCCTACACCCTGAACAGGGCGAGGAGCCACATCCGGCGGTGATGGACACCAGGCCTGCCAAAATGCCGTTGCATAGGCCACCCACGTCGTACTTCTTCATGATGGCATAGCGCAAAACAAACACAGTAATGCCACCCGTGGCTGCGGACAGTGTTGTGTTCATGGCCACTTGCGCAGCCATAGCACCCGTAGCTCCGTCGTGCATTCCGAGCGTGGAGCCCGGATTGAAGCCATACCAGCCGAACCACAGCGCAAAGGTACCCAAGACCACAAGGGGCAAATTGTGGCACTCGAACTCTTCCGGATTCTCGAAGCGGCCCTTGCGTGGTCCGAGCACAATGGTGCCCAAAAGAGCACTGACACCACCGGTCAAGTGCACCACACCACTGCCGGCAAAGTCCATGTAGCCCACATCCAGAACGGTAGCCAGCCAGCCACCGCCCCAGGACCACGCGACGACGATGGGGTAGATGAAGCTGGCCATGAAGAAGGCATACACTGCATACGTGGGGCTCTTCACGCGCTCAGCCACACCACCGCTCACGATCGTGGCTCCGGCCGTGCAAAATGCCCACTGAAAGAACCAGCTCAACATCTTGCTCTGGCAGCCGTCAGCATCACATGATGCAAGGGGCGTGATCACACCGGTGGTCTCATCGTTGGTGTAGAAGCCGATGCCGAAGAACTCGCTTGTTCCGATGAAGCCGTTCGCGGGCTCTCCCTGGCTGCCGTAGGCGAAGGCCCAGCCAAAGACCCACCAGCCCAGCGTGCCGACCGTCACGTTCACCAAGTTCTTCATGAGGACGTTGGATGCGTTCTTTGCACGGCAGCTGCCCGTCTCCAGCATCGCGAAGCCCGCATGCATAAACATGACGAGGGCACCACACAGGCAGAGCCAAGCAGAGTCCATGGCACCACCCAAGCTGTAGTCCGCGTTCTTCAGCGCCTGCACCTCGGTATTGAAGGTGTCCAGGCTCACATAGCTTGTTGTCTGCAGCCTTCGAGCTTCGACCAAAGAGTCGTATTTCTGCTGTTGTTCCTGGATGAGAGCCCGCTGTGCAGAGACTTCTGCTCGGAGAGCTTCCAACTCTGCGAGGGCATCCTTTTGCCCAACTGCCAAGGGAGCCAGCACCAAGAGTCCGACGGCTACGCGTGCCATCTTGGAATCTCACAACAGCTCCCCTCCCTGCGCCTGGAAAATGACACTGCGCCTGGAAAATGACTTGGGCCAAACAAGAGAAGGGCTTGCAGGGTTTGGAAGGTTTTGGGGTTGGAGCCCTGCCTCAAACCGTTGCCACGGCAGGGTTCTGTGGCCGAAGGGGTGGCCGGCAACACTATGAGTGCCAAATGGCCGTGGCCTTTGCGCAGGGGTTGATGATTCTAACCAAATGAGGACCGACGCCTTGCTGTTTTCGGAAAGAGACGGATTGTGACAGAAGGGGCAAGCTGAACAGCCTTGCTGTGGTGTGTCCCTGGCAAACCATGGATTTGCTGAAAAAACACCATTGGAGCAAGCAGGCATCACAACCGGCGGCCAAAGCTGCAACTGCAAGGCTTCGAGATCTGGGGGACGCAGCTACAAAATGGGCGGTTCTATGGACTCGGTCCTTGATGCAAGGCCAGTTCCGTGCACCTCTGCTCCTTTGTTAACTTTCACAAGTCTCCGGACACCAAAGCCAGGAAACATGCAGGTGCCAGTTCCCAGCACCGCACGATTCGCTTCTGAGGCCGCAGCAAGCCGCGTGCCAGCCGGAGACCCTCCAAAGCCTTCGCAGGCGTCAACCACAGGGCTTCGGGCTTCGGGGGAGAAGGCAAGGCCCGCGGCGTCGCTTCGCTAGCTTTTGCAGAGTGAAGTGAAGATCCCTACTGATCACTAGGGAAACAATGTACCAAGAACTTCAGAGATAACGACGAGTCAGCCAGTCAATTAGTTGCTTGACTTCAGTTTCGTGCCTGCGGAAGATACGATGAGGGTTCAGAACTGCAAGAAGCCGGCAGCAAACAACCAGACTCGTGAAAGCCCCTCTGCCAGACCCTACCAGATGGAGATTATGCCGATTATGCGGGTGTGGAGGTTGAGAACCGTGGCCTGTTCAACCCCGGGCTAAAGTGGGCTTTGGCTTCAGAAGCCCTCATGCCCCGACGTTGCAAGGAAGGATAGGAGGACCTACTTCATTTCACTTCCAACAAGGCCAACTTGTGAGGGCAGAACCTCCCCTGAGTCATCATTGGCCTGGCGGGATACTCTGTCGTGGCGATGGCGTAGACCGGCCTTGGGGAATTCCAAGGACAGCGGATGGTCTGCAGATGGCTGTTTGAAGCTCCTTCGCCTCTCATGAAGCTGCGCGCAATGCTTATCCCTAGCGAATCTTTACATATGGCGGAATGGGCGGGCACCAGATCCACTCCTGCTGATTTAGCCATCTGATAGCATGCTCAAGTTGGGCTTCAGTGATTGAGGTGGCAGCCCAGGTAGCTACGAGTAACAGCCACCCTCAGATAGCACCACGTCCTGCCTTCAGTTGCCCCACGCCATTCCATGGCTGATGCCAGTGCACAACAATAGCAGCCCTTGCGGGCTCCACCAATCCCATTTCACCCAAACGTCGACACATGCTTTGTAAATGTCTGCTACGCAAGCGTCGTAGGTTTCGGTCAGAAAACACAAACTTGAGGTGACGAGTTTTCTCCATGTTGAAGGTGAACAAGACGAGCTAATTAACAAACAGCATTTAATGATTGTTGAGGTTCTGGGACCCAATAAAAGAAAGACTCAGACTATTTGTTTAAGGTGGAGAATCCTAAGTCTAGCGTTTACAATGATGGTCCTTATAACTTCGAATTCCGAAAAACTCATACGAAGCCCTATCTTCACCGGGTGCCAGAAAAGGGACCTTAACTTGCAGGGAAGCTAGCACATGCTGAGGAGCGGACACATGGGAAAGGACGAAGGTGCAGTTGGCAGTGCGGCCGGGGACCGCCATCCATCAGGATGCTGCCTGAGTTTCTGTGTGTTTGAGGGTCTCTGGTTTGAGAGTAATGAGAGTATTTAGGTCGTTGAGGGGCGAAGCCGAAGATAGCCGAAGGGAAGACATCGGACTTTGGGGCTTGAGGTGTTTCAGCGATGCTTCTGGTGTTTCTTAGAACTCCGCTTTGGTTTGCGTGCAAGGTTTGGGCTGTGTAAGGTTTCTTGGGCAAGCAAAGAGGCATTGCCGACGGAGACGCGGCCTGTGCATCGGAGACTTCGCCAGGTCTGGTCGGAAGATGCCTGGGAGCAAGCTGCTGCATCGGATGTTACACACTGCCGTGCGATGACGGTGTCCAAAGATTTGCTGTGGATATTTTTCCTGTCGTCCTGCCATGGCACGCTGTCACGAAAGTTCTCAAAGGATGCTAGACCCGTGGCAATGTGGGCGAACAGCAGCGAAGGGTGGTGGTGCTCGAGGGTCTGTAGCAGTTATCATATTCCATTCTCTAGGCCGACACACTGAGCATCGAACTCACATTCTGGATTAGCTCAGCTGGTTAGAGCGTGCGACTGTTAATCGCGAGGTCCACGGTTCGATCCCCTTCAACAGGACCTCAAGTCCAAACCCTTGCAAACCAGGCGGCCTACATGTGCACCCTGAACATCAGATTTGGCATATGCACAACACCCAAAATCTTCCAAAGTGCAACCAACCCTAATCAGTGACCCCTGAAATGCGTCTCCTCGAGCGGGAAAGGTACATAAACTTCCAAAGGAACTCTGCAGGGCTGTGATTAGGGGGGCTTTCGCACCCGAACCTCCCAACTGCTTGATCTATTTGAGGTTTGGATCAGTGAGCGGTCATGACAATCTTTTTAGAATATACCATGACAGAGACCCAAGTTCAAAAGCAAGGCCTCAACTTAAGACCAACCAAGTACACTGGTTTAAACCTGGGAGCACTTCATTAGGAACCAAGGGGCCTTCAACCGGCCCACATTCCCTCAGCCTCACGAAGGCCTCACTAAAGCTGTTCTTTTGGGAGCATGGGCCGGTTAGACCCGCCTGAGGCCTGGCAAGACTGGGTGGTGTGCCGATGCGTCCTTCGGAGGGAGAGCGGAAAGCCGAGCCGAGTGCGGCAGGCACCTTGGGAAGAAAGTCTTTATGGCCTTTTGTGAAGGGTTTCGGAAGCATGGTTTGGGGTCTGTAGGGTTGACAGGGTTTCCACCCTCTCGCTCGCGCACAGGCAGGCCAGGTTTGTAGAGTTTGGGTTCGGGGTTTATCGGGTTTCGTCGCTCACTCTCACGCGCGGGTTTAGAGCTCACAGTTTTTCTGTCACCTGCCTAGCTGACCTGTCGGACGCACTGCAAGGCAATGATTGCGAAAAGTCGTCTCAACTGTCGGGCTGTAATTAGAGTTCAGCAGGTAAGTGATTCTTTCGCGCCATTTGGCCACTACACAAGGCTCAACCCAATCTCCAGCTTTTTTCGCTCCGGTAGATGGACTAACCGCGCCGCAGGAACTGATTAAGATCACCGGCATGCTTTCACCAGTTTCGGGCTTATGGGCTTTAGGGTTCAGGTTTAGCAGGGAGAAGAGGGAATTCATCCAAGTATTACTTCACACTCACCCAAGTATTGCTTAGACTTTGTAGTTTACTGGGCGGGGCTTGAGTGCATGGAAAGCTCCGACGTGTCGCTTCGAGTTATGGCTTGCGGTCTCACAGCCTGATGGCCTGGTCGGTACATGCTCTGGGATAGGTGTTGGCTCGTGTTTTCTTGCAAAGGGCAATGAAAGAAAGCACAACCTTCAAGGGTGAGACGACTCTACGACGAGGGGAAGCATACGGTCGACACAAATTTTGGGCGTGGGTCATTTCACCCTCGTACCTGACTGAACATCCAAAAAACTGAATGGAAGAGTATGGAAGACATTATTGGGGACTGTAAATCACCACTTTGGTTGTAGTCCAGATTGAGGCATCTTCTCACATATCGACCCATGCCCGAATGACTATCGGAGCTTTGTGCCATGGAAACTTTGGGTCTTAATCTGAGACCCTGGAGGCCGCTTTCAGCTTCCGCAACTCCTTGGCAATGTCAGCTGCTACGTCTGCCTCGGATTTGCCTTGGCAATCCAAGTAAACAACACTTGGCTTGAAAATGCTAAGAATGTAGCCTTGAGCCAAGCACTTTTTGTCGTACTTGTGCTCTGGGCCACCTGGTGGCTGTGGCGGGTATGTATCTTCGACTTTGAGCGGCAGGACTTTCACATCGTTCTCATAGTCCAATGCAAACTTGAGCTCCTTGTGGGAGGAGTACGCCGACGCGGTCATCTCACCATAATGCCTTGTACACACTGCCAGCATGGTGCCGCGTTCCTTCTGAAGCCGACCCAAGTATTCTGTGGTCAGATCCCCAAAGCTCTGACCAGCATCGGCAGCAACCATCAAAACATCATACTTGTGCTCTCGAAGTATGCTGAAGACTTTTCGGAATCTCCTAAGAATTTCTTGGGCCGGTCTGATAACACCAAATGTTGACTGTTGAGTGACTAAGATAAGACATGAATAGAGCACTGCCAAACAAAAGGTATGTCAAGTCCGAGAGTCTGCTCCACGGGACCTCCATCGAATCTGGCAGAGAACATAGCTACCCGTGTGCCTTCGCCAGTTGGGATCGGAGTTGGAACTGGTTCTACTAATGGCTTGGCGTCTGCCACTGCCTCTGCCACGGAAAGCAAATTGAGAGCTTCACTGGCTGCCTCTTTGAGTTTCCCTTTCCCATGCTTCGCGAAGGGGGTCAGCACAGCTATGCCATCAGCTTTCAGGATGCTTGCTTTGGCCTCGGCATGGTTGGCCAGATTTCGGATGGCCCTGGCAGCGTGCCATTTCGCATCCTCAGTGCCATTAACCACTAAGGCCACAAGTGCTTCAGCTCCCCCAGCTTGGATGATGGCACTGCGGTTCTCATTGGATGTGGATGCCCAGCTTCCAAGCTGCTCTGCAGCTTTGCATTGCTCGTCAGAGTTGCCGCTCTCCAAGGCCTTCACTTCAGCCTTGACCCGCTTTGGGGCAGACCCACAAGGTGCTTCCGCAGCTTTACTCTGCTCTTCCTTGCTTCTCGTATCCAAGGCTTTCACCTCAGAGCTGAGCGCCGAACCGGACCCACCAGATGCATCTGGAGCGTCCTTGGGCAAATGCTTCAGAGCTTGCCGAGCATTCTCCGCCGCTCCTTCCCAGAAATAATCCTCCCCGCTGTAATTGGCCATCGCCTCCAGCGGTCCGCGGCCGCCACAGTCCACGATGGCCTGGGCAATCTGGGCGTCCTTTGCCAAACCGCATAGAGCGCAGGCAGCATAGCTGTTCGGCGTAGCGTGGCCCGTCTGCAGCAACTGTATGAGGGGCGGCAAGCCGCCTTCGGCCTCGATGGCCCTCCTGCCTGCGTCGCTCGAGCACAACTCGGCCAACTTCAACGCAGCATCCCCCTTCCAGATCACGTTCCAGTCCGGGTCTTTCAGCTTTCGGATATACTCTCGGATCCTGTTCAAGTCCTGCTCACGCGACTTCGCCTCTCTCGCCATGGCGTCGCGCTCAGGCTGTGTTTGAGTTGTTCGGGAAGGTTGGCTCTTCTCTTGGATCGTCTTCAAGTTCGCCTCACGCAACTTCGAGCTTCTCGACATGGCGCCGCCCTTAGGGTGTGTTTAAGTTGCTCGGAAAGGTTGACCTTGGCACCTGGCCCGGCCTTACGTTTGCTGCGAAAGATTGTGCAACAGTTTTGCTATTAAAGGCCTGTGAACCATGACGGACGAAGAATTCACGAGCACCATACGCCCAAACACCCAAGGTAAGGAGCGAAACCCCAACAGCCTCCCGGGAAAGCTGGGCGCCAAGCCAATGGTGGTGGCGTGGCAGGTTGCCTGGCCTTGCCTTCGGATGCACCATTCAGTCAAGCCCATGAACCCTTGAACCCTCACCGAAGCTACTCAGGTGGGTAGATTAGTCATTTTTATTGTTTAACGGCACACTTTGTTTTTTGATGTTTTTTGCACGTCTAACCCTGAAGACCTGTACTAGATACAGTATCTTTGGGGGGGGGGGGGGGGGGGGGCTCCAGCGAATGATGGTGCATATCGAGGGTTGGTTCATTCAGGACGCGAAATGCTCGAAACAACGCCTTGGCGGTTTGTCATCGGTTTCAGCTTAGGGACGCGGAACAAGACTGTGTTAGCCACATACAGAGGCCAAGGATAACACCCACAAGACAATGGAGCACCGCACGGCTGCACAAGTTAGGCGGCGGCTTCAAGACATTTATTTACCTCTCAATATGTCCAACAGAAAAGTCTGAGTGTCCCTAATTAAGCTCCAACTAAGGATATTCTTGCTCGAATGCCCAAGACACAAGGCTCCATGGCTTAAACTCTTGGAGCCCCTTCCTTCGCCCTGCCTGTGGCAACAGGGGCAGGGCTCACTGACCGGCCAGAGTAGCTCAGCACCTGGGCAAACTGCACTTTCAATAGAACGATTTTGACCTGAAGATTTTCCAGCTCGCGACAGGCGAAACGACTGGCAAGGGCTTTGTTAGACACCTTCATCCCTACGCAAGTACCGGATGGCACTACCAAAACTCCCAACACATGCGCTGCAACAGCAAGGCCAACAGCGATGACTCCAATATCTTTGAAGGAAGGATCCCCACCCCCCCCCACCCCTCGCGCCAAAGCCATACAATCGTCAGCACAAAGACCCGGGCGGCCATCTCTCTGCGCTCAGAAAATGACCATTAAAAGCACTCAGCGTGTTGGAAGTTTCAGACAGCCTGGGAAGTCGTATTGTTCCGATATTCTTGTTCATACGCCTCGGCTTACAATCCAAGCGCTGGTAAGCACACGACTGGCGCGGTCGATGGCGTCATGTTCGCCTTGGCCGGCATTGAGATGCTTATAATGCGCCATCATGCGCGCCTCTAAACTTCGACTTCCGGAGGGCTCCCAGTCGCTGCGCTTTGGGGCCCTGGCCGTGGCTTTCATCGCCGCTGAAGCCATGGCCGCAGCGGGCGAGACCTGTGGAGCCTGTGGCGGCCTGGGGAAGGGAGTGGGGATGGTAGGGATGGTGGGGATAGTGGCAGCCTTTGCTCTCAAGAGAACTCTTATACTCAGACGGAAAGCTTCCGAGATCGGCGCGTGCGCTCACTTGGGCAATACACGTCGTTGCTTTCTATTCCTCTCGGCTTTAGGGGTTTGTGCCTTTAGGCACGAAAACCTCTAGACTGTGTCAGACACAGTGCTCCGATTCTATCTTTAATATTTACATGCTGAGTTCCAGGGGCAAAGCAGAAGAGCCCGGGTGCTGAGTTTCGGTGCTGAAGTGCTCTTGCGATGTAGGGCTTGGGTATAGAAAGAGCCTCGATGGCTCGACTTGTCAGGAGTTGCTCTAAGTTGTTCTGGCTTCCAGAGCGCAAGATCAGTCTCGCTCTTGGCATCAAAGACCCCACAGCCGGGGGCCAAGTGCCGGACCCAGACAGTAGCAACAGGACGCACCGATTCTGCATGAGTCTGCGGAACCCAACACGGCCCACACGCTTCCTAATTCTTGCAGCCTCTATATGAGAACTCTCTACCGGAAGCCCCCTTTGGCAACTCCACACCCGAATTATCCCCGAAACTTTCTGAAACATGATCCAAGAGTGTCAAAGCCAGCGCTGCTTCGGCGACTTAGATTCCAGCACGACTTGCAAGCGCTGGCCCGGTGGCTCCTCAGATGCTTTTGCTTTTTGTTTGACCTGTTGAGAAGCCGCAGGGCCCTGAGCTCAAGTGGGTGCGAGGACCTGGGGGGCTCTTCTGTTTTGCAGGGGGTCTCCATATGGGTGGCGCATGAAGATGCACATAGATGAAGGTGCGCATGCCAATTCTGCTCAAGATCCACATGCCATGTTCTCAACTTTGGGGTGTGCTGGGACAGGTGGACTTTGGGGTGACCATAGGGCTTTTACGAGCGCCGAGCGGATCCAAACCTTATGATTCGTTTTAGGCTCGGTTGACGCGCGTGGCTGATGGTGAGAGAGTACAGGCTGTTCAGCAATGGTTGGGACAACTTGCCAGGGAGCAAACACCTGCTGCACCGCAAACGCATTCACAAAGCCCACAAGCCCACCAATGATGCTCCCCACCCAGATATCTTAAAGCTGAGCCCCAAAAAAAACAGGCTATATAAGCCCTCCCTTGGCAATCCTGGGACAATCTGCTTGGCCGCGGGGACATCAATGGCTGAAACCTCACCAAGGGGCTTCAGGAAGTTTAGCAGATCGCATGCACTTGTGCTCGCTTGGCCTTTGAATCGCGCCTTTTCACAGCACCGTGTCGCGAGAACTGCGCGTCCCATTCTGCATCAAAAAACCCTGCCATGTGTAGGTCTCCTCCACATGATCCTTCGATTTTTCGGCACCATGGTGCGGGGGAGCCCGATGCGCAGATGCGTAGGCGAGCCTTCCAGCTATAAGTGTTGGCGGGCAGCCCGGGGGGCTGCACTAGACTTCGTGTTTCAGCATCATAAGCACAAGACAGAAGGAAAAAAACTGCAGAACCTTTGGAAAACTACAGTCCAGCATCCCCTCCCCAAAGCCCGCAACCAAAAACAACGAAACCGAAACAGAAAGCAGCAGCAACCCTGGCTCCGGGTGCCAAGCTGCTGTTGTCCCGGTGCCTGTGGCAGCCTGTAGGCCAAAGATCAGAGGGGTTCGATGCACACTGGTACAAGGCAAGGCAATTGTTGACTGATCTTGATACAAAAGCATGCCGCTGTCACTGTGTCATCTCCCAGGTACCAAAAGCTTGGAGGCCTTGTGGCCTTACGACTAGGGCACTCGAAAAGCAAATCCATCCGACTCGATGCCTTATGGCGACCGCGCAGCGTCACGAGTCCACCAAAGGGGCGCAAAGTTACTCCGCAGCCAGACTCACACAGGGTGACCCCACATGCACATGCTGCAGCACCGGGCGTGCAAAAAGATGTGCCTCGACCCCTCGGCAGGGCTTCGGGCTTGTTTGGGCCGGCGTTGCCTCAAACCCCATGGAGTCATCTGTGCCATCACTGGCGCGCCAGGGACTGTCCTGTTGTATGGCAGGATGCTTATACTGGGGTACAGCACAGAGACAACCAAAGGAGGGACTTAGTCTTGGTGTTGATCCGCCCAAAACCACTTTAACATCCCAGAACCTGCAAAATCTGTCACTGGTTGGCATGGGCCCTGGAAGCTGCAAGCGTGCGTGCGTGTGCATGAAAGGACTAGTAGTGCTAAGCTGCTAACCCCAGTGTACAAGGTCGAAGCCTGAACCTCAACACCAAAACCCATTCACGACCGCAACGAAGACGCCACAGCCCTTCAGAGAATCCCAAATTATAAAATTCTGTGGAACCCTGGAACATGCAAACCGAAAAGTCATGAAAACACATCGGAAACTCTTCTGGTGGATTCCGCATGGTGTCATCTCATGGGCTGGGCTCCCCCCCCCTGTCTTCCGAAACCGCATGATCCTAAACTCTCAGCCCAAGTCCCTCCGAGACGCACTTTTCAGTTGCCGAGGCACGCCACACCCCCGGGGAGCTGCGCGGGCTGCGTGCGCCTCGCAGTGAGAGGTTGGAGACGCTGCTACATTGAACACCTCTTCGATGTGTGAGGAATAAAAGCCACCATCAACCTGCTAGGGCTGCTAGGGCTCGTCGTGTGAGAGGGCCCCATCACAGACCCTCGCCAGGATCAATTTGTGTTGAGGATGCGCTTTATTCAGGCCACCCTGAGCTCAAGATTTATGTACATTTGGGAGATTCGTCCTCCGTACTATAGTCATGCGCGAGGAACTTCCGCAGGGCGAGCTAAGGCGATGTATGATCATTATACGGCTTGCCGGTTCATGTGTGCGCTTTCGTCTGGGTTGGCACTTGCCTGCAGCGCAGCCTGTGGATCTTCAGGCTGCGCACCAAACGTCCAATGCACCGGCAAGTAGGCAGCCGACACGAGCGAGGAAGGCGCCAAGGTCAAAGGCGTCGCCATCACCTGAGAGCTGTCTGAGAGAGCGTGTACTTTTTAAAGGCCTACTAGTGTCTAAACACAAACAATAAAGGCTTCGCATCGCCGATGGTTGCTGCGTTTCATGCAAAAAAAACGTTGTCTTGGTTTTGGAAAATTACCCTGGAGCTACATGGCAGGCGTTCGCGTGTTTGGTCCAGTTGTTACTCGCTCATAGACGCCATCTCTGTGAGATGTTCCTCTTGCTTGACACTGAAGCTTGCAAAGAAACCAACACTCTTTCTCACACATCAAAACCCTAAACCCTAAACCCTAAACCGTAAACCCTAAACCCTAAACTGCGACTCCAGGGTTCGCGCGTGCACCAACGACGAGAAAACCCACGAAAATGCTGCTGATAAAGCAGCAGAACAATATTACCAAAGCATGAACATGATGGACCAGTTCTTTGCAAAGGAAGAGCCCCGATATACTATGATGGTCAGCCCCCCCCCCATGATCCACACCTATGGTTTTCCTGTCTTCGTCTTTGTCTGATTTTCTGTTTTTTCACCGGAAAAATGCAGTAAAAACTGCACTGGAATACAAAAAGCTCTATTATATTATCCTCTATAAAAACACTAGTGTTTTTTTATGTGCATTTTGCTTCTGAAACTTGTGTTTTGCGGCTCTATAAAATTTTAGAAGGGTAGCCATTTAGAAGCTTAAGGCTTTTCAGGGTTTTAGGTTTTAGGGGTTTGTAAAAATTTAGATGATCTGTGGAAGGCACCGGGGCTTCCCCAGACCATTTGCAATTTTAAAGATCCTTAAAAGGGGCAGCCCTTTTCAAATTTGAAGGGCTTTAAGGTATTTAAAGCCTTTCAAAATTTTCAAGATTTAAAGGATCTTAAAAGGCTTTAAAGCCCTTAACAACCTCGAAACGTTTATCCCTTAAAAGTCTAAAATTCTTTAAAATTTAAAACGGGCAGCCGTTTAAAATTAAGGAAGTGACGGATTTTAGAATTGAACATCCGAAAATCTTTAAACTTTAAAAGGACAGCCATTTACAACTGTAAGAATTTCAGGGTTTTACGGATTTTCAAAATTTTATATTGTCTGGGGAAGGCACCGGGGCTTCTCCAGACCATTGGCAACTTCAACAATCTCTAAAATTCCGCAAAGGGCAGCCACTTAAATACGTAAGCAATTTAAGGTCTTTAAAAAGGCTTAAACGGCTTAAAACCTTCATAACCGTGAGAATGCTTAAACAGAAGCTTAAAGATTTTTATAAGATTTTAAGGATTTTTAATGTTTAGGTGGGTCTGGGGAAGCCCCAGTGCCTTCCCCAGATCATGTAAACTTGCAAAAACCCTCAAACCCCTTCACCCTAAAATCCATCCCCGAAACCCTTAGCTCTAAACCCTAAACACTCAGCACCAGACCCTAAACACTAACCCAAAAACTTAACACTAAGCCCTTAGCACAAACCCCAAGCACTTAACATGAAACCCTAAACACTTAAGCACTAGACCCTAAACACGAAACCCTAAACACTCAAACACTACACCCTAAAAACTAAACCCTGAACATTACACACTAAACCCTACACACTAAACCCTGAACACTAGTAAACATCCTTAAAACCCTAAATCCAAAAAACCAAACCCGAAACCCTTAACACTAAACCCTAAACACTCAGCACTAGACCCTAAACACTAACCCTAAAAACTTAACACTAGGCCCACAAACCCCAAACACTTGACACGAAACCCTAAACACTTAAGCACTACTAAACCCTAAACACTCAGCACCAGACCCTAAACACTAACCCTAAAAACTTAACACTAAGCCCTAAGCACAAACCCCAAACACTTAACAGGAAACCCTAAACACCTAAGCACCCCTAATTACTAAACCCTAAACATTACACACTAAACCCTACACGCTAAACCCTTAACCCAAAAAAAGCCGAAACCCTTAGCACTGAACCCTAAACACCAGCGTAAACACTAACCCGAAAAGCTTAACACTACGCCCTTAGCACGAACCCCAAACACTGAACACGAAACCCTAAACACTTAAGCACTAAACCCTTCCTAAACACTAAACCCTAATCACTTAAACACTACACCCTACAAACTAAACCCTAACCATTACACACTAAACCCTACACACTAAACCCTAAAGCCTAAACAGAAGGATTTTTTAAGTTGTCAATGGTCTCGGGCAGCCCCGGTGCCTTCCCCAGATCATTTAAATTTGTAAACATCCTTAAAACCCTTAACCTAAAACCCAAACCCGAAACCCTCAACACTAAACCCTAAACACTAACCCTAAAAACTTAACACTAAGCCCTTAGCACAAACCAAACACTTAGCACGAAACCCTAAACACTTAAGCACTTAACCCAAAAACTAAACCTTAAACATTTCAAACTAAACCCTAAACATTAGACACTAAACCCTAAACCCTAAACAGTAAACCCCAAGGCCAGAACCTCGAGCCCTACTAAATCTAAACCTGAAACCAAAAACCCGTCGGGGTTTCAGATGCTTACTGTTTGGATTTCAGAGTTTAGGGTTTTATTTGGGTTTTAGCCGAGCCGCTTGACCCTAAACCCTAAAACCTAAACTTAACACTCAACCCTAAACACAAAACACTAAACCCTGAAACCTACACACTAAACCCTAAACACTAGATTTCCAGAAAAAATCTGGAGTACCCGGGCCCCGGACTCCAGACTCCAGATTTCCAGAAAAAATCTGGAGTACCCGGGCCCCGGACTCCAGACTCCAGATTTCCAGAAAAAATCTGGAGTACCCGGCCCCGGACTCCAGACTCCAGATTTCCAGAAAAAATCTGGAGTACCCGGGCCCCGGACTCCAGACTCCAGATTTCCAGAAAAAATCTGGAGTACCCGGGCCCCGGACTCCAGACTCCAGATTTCCAGAAAAAATCTGGAGTACCCGGGCCCCGGACTCCAGACTCCAGATTTCCAGAAAAAATCTGGAGTACCCGGGCCCCGGACTCCAGACTCCAGATTTCCAGAAAAAATCTGGAGTACCCGGGCCCCGGACTCCAGACTCCAGATTTCCAGAAAAAATCTGGAGTACCCGGGCCCCGGACTCCAGACTCCAGATTTCCAGAAAAAATCTGGAGTACCCGGGCCCCGGACTCCAGACTCCAGATTTCCAGAAAAAATCTGGAGTACCCGGGCCCCGGACTCCAGACTCCAGATTTCCAGAAAAAATCTGGAGTACTCGCGGCCCCAGACTCCAGATTACAGACTCCAGAATCTGGAGTCCAGAGTCCCGGTACTCCAGATTTTTTTTGGAAATCTGGAGTCTGGAGTCTGGAGGTACTCCAGATTTTTTCTGGAAATCTGGAGTCTGGAGTCTGGGGGTACGGAAATCTGGAGTCTGGAGTCTGGGGGTACTCCAGATTTTTTCTGGAAATCTGGAGTCTGGAGTCCGGGGCCCGGGTACTCCAGATTTTTTCTGGAAATCTGGAGTCTGGAGTCCCCCCCCCCTCCCAAAACCCCCTTCCCGAGGCCAAATGTGTGGATCATGGGGGGGGGGGCGAGCACTATGATATACTTCCAAGTAATCCTGAATGTGGTGCGTCTTTCAGTAGATCTTTGTAGGGGAGGCTAAATTACAATACGTCCGTTACTTGAAGCAGCTCAGTTCAGCTTTTCTTACAAAGGTTCCTTTAGAAGCCGCATTTCGGCAACAAAAGAGGCCCTGGAGCCCAAGAGCAATTGACCCTAACGCCCCCTTGCCGGGCCTCCTCGGCCTTCTTCGGCGGCCTCGGTTCGCCTTTGCCGGGATTTTCAGGGGAGTTTTGGATACTGGGGGGGGGGGGGATGAGTGGGGTGGGTCTGGCTAGGTATGGTTGGCCAGCCGAAGGTCTGTGTTGGGGTTCGTAGGTGGGGCGCCTGTCGGAAAGCCCGAAGCGGCGCTTCGGCCGGGGGTTTCCAGAGGAAAGGAAAACGCTGGTCGATGTGCTTGCTAGCCTGAAAGCCCTCTTTATGCAGAATGCAGACATATCTAAATGGTTTAGAGGAAAGACCCAGGACGAGCCTTTGCCTGGGAATCTGAAAAGCGCTTTGTTCATCCACAGAGTTCCTGTTTAGGTTAGGCTGTTGCCCAGATCCCTGAATCCGTGGGTCTAAACCCCCAGATTGTCTTTAGCGCTGAAAAAGACTATACTCGCCTAATTAGGCGTAAGGCCGCGGCTGGGCGGAGGCGCGTGGGCCTCCTTGCCCTGAATTGCACGCTCCACTCGCTGCAGGCTCAAAAAAGGGCAAACTGGCAGCTTGCATCTTTTCGCTACCACTCTTATACTCTCTACATGCCGGGCATTCATTTCATGTCCGAACCATTTGTTGCGCATTGTGCATCCACTGACCAAAACATATCCATGCCCAAACTACGGTTACGCCCGCTGCCCAGAGGTACCACCTGCACCCACAGGCCACAGGCCAGAGAGCTTTCATGCCTAAAACATAATTACCGCCTGTTACCATGTCATCTGCTCGAAAACGAGTGCGCTTAGCAAGTGTGTTGTACAAGGGTGCGGGCTGAATACAAGGCTGAAAGCAGTCAAGAATGCAAAGATGCCAATGTGCAAGTGTGTGTGTGTGTGTGTGTTGGTGTGTGGTTGGTGTGTGTGTGTGTGTGTGTGTGTTGGTGTGTGTGTGTGTGTGTGTGTTGGTGTGTGTGTGTTGGTGTGTGTGTGTGTTGGTGTGTGTGTGTGTGTTGGTGTGTGTGTGTGTGTGTGTGTGTGTGTGTTGTGTGTGTGTGTGTGTGTGTGTGTGTGTGTGTGTGTGTTGTGTGTGTGTGTTGGTGTGTGTGTGTGTGTGTGTGTGGGTGGGTTGTGTGTGTGTTGGTGGGGTGTGTGGTTGGTGGTGGTGTGTGTGTTTGTGGGTTGGTGGATGTGTTGTGTGTGTTGGTGTGTGTGTGTGTGTTGGTGTTGTGTGGGTTTTGGTGTGTGGGTGGGTGTTGGGGGTGTGTGTGTGTTGGTGTGTGTGGGGGTGTGTGTGT